CAGGACCTCTTAATGAGCTGCAGGGTTTTGCAGTTGAAGCTGAGTCAGGAAGCCTCTCTTAGATGAGAGTGCTTGCTTGCCTCTAGCAAGCAGAGTAGACCCGAAAAATTGTTGCTACCAAGAAAACATGCTTCACTCCATTCTTTCCCAAGCTTTCTCAGGCTTTTTGTGGATTCAGTTAGCCTCACGTTGGGCAGCCATCTGTTGTAATAGGATGCGGCGGGGCTGCGTCCCCAACACCCCGGCCGCTTGGCTAGCTCATGCCCAAATAACAACACACAAACTGTATTCATTTAACTGCTTGACCCATTTCTATCTAGCCTCTTCTAGGCTAATTCTCACATATTAATTTAGCCCATTTCTAATCATCTGTGTAAGCACCCCAAGGTGCGCTTACCGGGAAGATTCTAGCCTCTGTCCATCCTGGGAGAGTGTAGCATGGCAAGCATAGCGTCTCTGCTCCAGAGCAGAGCTGTCGAGTCTCTCTGGGAGCAGAGCAGAGTCTGACCTCACTTCCTCTTCCACCCAGCATCCTATTCTGTTTATTCCACCCACCTATGTTCTAAGCTATGAGGCCAACAGTTGGTTTATTATAATTTACCAATTACCTTCCTCCATCAACATATAGCAGGAGAAAAAAAAATTCAAAAATACTATTGAAAAGGATTAAATCAAGAACTGAGAATAACACAATTTCAGTCATGTAGATACATAGTTTAAGTGAGCTCCTTGCTCCAGCCTGAGTGACCTGGAATGTGAGGGATTGTGAAAAAAACAGATGAAAATCATGGGGAGGGGGTGATTAGAAATTAAATCTTGTCCAGACAAGTCTCTCTTTTCCCTGATGTCCTAAGTCCACACAGTATTTGAAAAGTTACAGTTAAGACTGAGGACATTGAAATGCCAGAAGCATCACATCAGAGAGGAAAGTTCTCATCTTGTTGACAAACAGGTACTTCCATTATGTCACTGCCAGAGCAAACACTAGAGTGTTTCCAGCACGTTAATTTCTCCCATTAATTATACACTTCTATTATTCTTCTATTTCTTGTCATGGTTACTATAAACAGATACATCTAAAGCACTTGAATTTGACAAGTGCTTGTTCAGATCAAGTAATTAAGTGAGAAACTTCTGTGTTCCCCCACCTTTTATCTTTCTAATTATACATCTATAAGTGAAAAATATACTATTTAAGGAGACATCCTGAAAGAGTCAGTTGACAGGAAGGACCAGCTGGTTAAGCAGAAAAGTAGACATCACACATATAACCTGCTTTGTCTGCTACTGGTCAAAGTCTGACCCCTGCTGGACCAGAAGTCATCTGCAATACTCTGCTGAGATCACAGCCTGAGGAGAACCAGAATTGAAGAAAAATAAAATTTGGTAAATTCTTGAACAAGATAACATCACAGTTTGACCACAAGAATATGTGTGTGTGTCACTTGTCTGTAATTTTGTAAGACCCATTTTAATAATACTTTATTATTGATTTTAAAAATAGAAAATAAGTTCCACCCAAAAAGCAAACTCCAGCTATATCAAGAAATGGGGACAATGTAGCTCTCTTCTCTCATCCTATCACAAATGCTGCACATAGCACCTACCATCACACTGAGCATCTGGTACATGGCAATGGTGTCACATCAAGAATATCCTACACAGTAACTGTGACCCTGAAGGCTGTGTGCCATTATCGTTTGTCACTGATAATGTGATTGCACTCACCATTCTACCATTCTGTCCCACTCCAGAGAACAAGTAATGGTGCTAACCATGCTGCAAATGTGGCTGTCAAAGAGGTGTTCCTTTTGCTTGTTTGTTTTTGCACTAGGTTTCCGCCTCGCCCCTAAAATGTCCCCCAATTTCAATTGTTTCTCCCAGTAAGTTTTCCCTCTCCCCCAAGTTGATCCCCTTTATTCCCAACCCCGTGTGCCCCCAATCCACCCACAAAATCTATTCTATTTTCCCTTCTCAGGGAGATTCATGCATCCCTTTCTTAGACTTCCTTGTTACTTAGACTCTCTGGGTCTGTGGACCATGGCATTACATTTTATTTTACAGCTAATATCCACTTATACGTGAGTCCATACCATGTTTGTTTTTCTGGGTGTGGGTTACCTCACTTGTTGTGGAATATTACCTTAACTAGGCAAAGATTGTTTCACTTACTTATGTTGTGGAATATTGCTTTAACTGTGTACAGATGAGTTGCAATTGCTTGCATTGCCTTTGTTAATGATGTAAAGATGGACTTTTGTTTATGCAGCATTTTTAATTATGTAAAGATGTGGGTTTTTTTTTTTTCACTTTGCCTGCCTAAGGCACCTAATAGGTCTAATAAAGAGCTGAATGGCCAGTAACTATGCAGGGAGAGAAAAGGTGCGACTGACAGACAAAAAGAAACAGTAGGAGGAGAAATCTAGTCTCAAGAGAGAAGGAGGAGGAGAGAGCGAGAAAGAAAGAGAAGGACATGCCTGGGACCAGTCAGGCAGCCACCAGTCAGATAGTTGGAGTAGAACATACAGAAGAAAAGAAAGATGAAAAGCCCTGAAACAAAGCATAGGTAAAGAAAAACAGGTTAAGTTATAAGAGCTACCAAAAACAGGTGTAAGATAAGGCTGAGCATTCATAATAAATAATAAATCTCCATGTCATGATTTGAGAGCTGGTTGGTGGCTCAAAAGAAAGCCTGGTGCCCTCACTTGGGATGATTTTTTTTTTTAAAGCTCCATCCATTTGGCTGTTAATTTCACGATGTCATTGTTTTTAACATCTGAGTAATACTTCACTGAGCAAATGTACATTTTCTTTACCCATTCTTCAGTTAAAGAACTTCTAGGTTGTTTCCAGTTTCAAGCTATTATGAATAAAGCTGATATGGACATAGTTGAGCACATGACCTTGTGAGAGGATGGACCATTCTTTGGATATATTCCTAGGAGTGCTATAGTTGAGTCTTGAGGTAGCTCTATTTTCTCAATTTTCTGAGAATCCACTATTTTGGTCTCCAAAGTGGCTGTGCAAGTTCACACTCACACCAGCAGTGGAGGCATGTTCCCCTTGCTCCATATTCTTGACAGCACTTATATTTTAGACCTTAGTCATTCTGATAGGTATAAGACAGAATCTTAAAATCATTTTGATTTTCATTTCCCTGGTGACTAAGAATGTTGAACATTTTTTCAAATGCTTTTTTTTTATGGTGAAAAAGTGTATATTTAGAATTAGCCGGCTGGGCTCAGTTTAGATGATTCCGATCTTGTTGGCAACATCCAGAGCATCATAATCAGGAGCCAACCGAACATACGCCTTCTTCTCTCCGTTGGGCCTTATGAGGGTGTTGACTTTGGCCACATCGATGTCATAGAGTTTCTTCACAGCCTGTTTGATCTGGTGCTTGTTGGCCTTGACGTCCACAATGAACACAAGTGTGTTGTTGTCTTCCATCTTCTTCATTGTTGACTCGGTGGTCAGGGGGAATTTGATGATGGCATAGTGGTCAAGCTTATTCCTCCAGGGCGCGCTCTTCAGGGGGTATTTAGGCTGCCTTCGTAGCCACAGGGTCTTGGGCCACCGAAAGGTGGGCGATGTGCGGATCTTCTTCTTTTTGTGGCTGTGGATGCCTTTCAGCACTGCTTTCTTGGCTTTCAAGGCCTTCGCTTTAGCTTCGGCTTTGGGAGGGGCGGGAGCTTCCTTCTTGGCTTTCGGCGCCATCTTGACGAAATGCCATTTTTTCAAATGTTTAATGACCATTTGAGTTTCCTCTCTTGAGAAATCTGTTTAGATCGGAACCCGATTTTTTATTTGGATTATAAAGTTTATTGGTGTCTAGTTTCTTGAGTTCTTTGTGTGTTTTTAATATTAGCCCCTTTTCAGATGTGGAGGTGAAGAGCTTTTTCCATTCTGTGGGTTGCTGTTTTGTCTTACTGACAGTGTCTTTTCCACTTACAGAAGCTCTTCAGTTTCATGAAGTCCCATTTCTCAGTTGTCGGTCTATCTCAGTGCTGTGCTGGTAGTGTTCCGTTCAGGAAGTCGTCTCCTATCGATGCATTCAAGGCTCTCCCACACTTTCTTTTCTATCAGGTTCTTTGTAACTGGATTTATGTTGGGATCTTTGCTTTACTTGGACGTGAGTTTTGTGCAGGGTAATAGATAAGAATCTATTTGCATTTGTCTACTTGCCTACATCCAGTTAGACCAGCACGCACTTTTTGTTGAAGATGCTTTCTTTTTTCCACTGCATATTTCTAGCTTCCTTATTAAAAAATCAAGTATTCAGAGGTGTGTAGATGTACATCTGGGTCTTTTATTTGATTCCATTAATCAACATGTCAGTTTTTATGTCAAACCATGTGGTTCAAATTTTTTACCTTATATTTTATTATGTGTCTCCCAAAGTAATAGACAGAGGTCTAAGTCTCTGATCTCAGTACAAATACTAAAATTAAATATAAGAACAGTTCAGGATTTTTCTAAGCCTAACAAAATGTAGGCTCTGATTATTTTCATCATATATTGTCTCTTCAAATCTCCTTAGATACAATTATCAAACACTGTTCATTTTCTTTTCTGTATTTAAGCAAAGGTCTTTGAAAATGATTTTGACCAAGATTGAATTTTTCTACCAATAATTGCTGTTCACGCAGGAACTGGTGTGCTTATGTACATACCAAGTTATCTCCGACAGTGATACTGGACACTCACGGCTCTTACACACCAAATGGGAGAGGATCCTGTGGCTGGTCCAGTGGACTCTGTTCCCAAAGGTATGCAATATTTTCTGAAAATAGATGTTTTTCATGTAAACCTAAAATACATACGAATAGCCATTCCAGGCACTGTATGGCAAAGCAGAGAGAGAGTCTCTATATTAGATTAGATAGATTACCTTTAGTAAATTAAGATGTGATTACTAATAATACCTGTGCTGTGTATTTGCTTTGAGAATCATGTGAGCTAATACAGTCATGTACTCAGCTTACTGCCTAGTACCCTGCGAGTGCATAGGGGGTGTGAACCTTCTTGATTCATAGTCACTGTTGTATTATTAACCTAGTCAACAAGCCTGAACTGAGACTCTTATGAAAGGCATAGTAGATAACATCTAATATTTATTAACATTTTTTAGATAAAAGTCCATATATGACTTGTATTAAAAGTATAGAAAATCATTACCTGTGATTGTGCATGTATAAGCAGCTCTTCTTTTATATGTTGTAATGACCATACTTAGATGGCTATATTATTTATACATTATATTAGTAACCATGTTTTTCATGACATATATTTCTGTATGGCTATAAAAATTAATAGATAAGCATTTCTAAAAGTATCTTTTTGAGATATCAGAGTAAGTAAAGGTCTGTGAAAGTGATATTGACAAAAATATTTTCTCTAACAATGAATTTTTTCCAATAATGGTTATTCCTTCATTTATAAATAAATGAATATATTATGTATAGATTATATTAGTAACCATACTGTTCATTACATATATGGATATATTTTATTATGTATATGTTATATTAGTGACCATGTTGTTCATTGCACATATGAGTATATTATAATGGATGTCCGTACACACATATACCATTGTCATAAGGTAAGGCTGAGCTCTTCATAAATTCTCCAAATCCACATAGTAACCATAGCTTGACTAGAGATGTTCACAAAGAAACTGATAAAACAAAAGAGAAAGAAAAAAAAAGAGAGAGAGAGAGAGAGAGAGAGAGAGAGAGAGAGAGAGAGAGAGAGAGAGAGGAAGAAATTGTAGCACTGCTACTCAAGCCCTGAATCTAAGGTACACAATTATCATACAAATAACCCAGGCAATGAATCTGATGCATCAGCAGTCTGGAACAATGCACAGGAAGGACACATAATATCCAGGTGTTTCTGAGTCTCTTGAGGACTGAAATTCACAGTCCAGAGAGCTGAGTACATCGTAGGGATTTGAGAGAGCTAAGCTGTGGCCCTGCTTTCAGCTGTTTTTCCCTTTGTGACAATTTTCTTGTCAAGGAAGGCACAAAGAACACATTGTTAATTCTTGAGTAATGAAAACATTACTATGGTAATCCTTATCATATTGTTCTGGGTTCAAGGTGAGTTCCTCTCCTGCTCTTTACTCTTTTCTAAACCCAGCTACTTTATCCTTATTCCTATCTCTTCTCTTTGTGTCTATTTGAATGGGTCTTTTGCATTTGTTCATGATTTCTGTATTTATACAATAGATATCTAAATTTATTTTATTATATCAACATTTCATGCAACAGACACTCAGTTTTCCAGAGCAGAAACATCGACCATCTAGCATGATTCAACAAAGTTCTAAGTCCTAGAGTCAATCCCACAAACTAAATAAATTCCACCTTCATTCCTTATTTAACTTTAGCAGTTGGGCTAAAGATGATAGTCCCTCCAACAGAATTATTTACTGAATATAACTTATTGAAGTAGATGCAGATGGATGTCTTGGTGCCTTTAGGGCTGGAAAGAATGGTGTTGCTCATTCTGGTCTTGAAAAATAACCTGTGATATATTGTCCTACCTGTTCGTTACTACAGAAACTGAAACCCCACTAATTCAGTTCTTCACCAACAACCCTTGTACAGTTCACTAGGGTTGGCTGTGACAAATTCCTGTAGCATAAGCGTAACTCATACAATCAAGATTAAAATTCCAATTCTACAACTTTTAGATCTGGGCATTTGAGCAAGTTATTTTATTTCTCAATTATTTGTGCTCTTCAGCTTCAAAGCATGTATTAGAATTAAAGTAAGTTCTAATACTTATCTAGCTAGAAAACATTATGCAAAGCAAAACTATCTTATCTTTAGAAAATGAAGTGATGGATATTAATTTAAAATACCAATAGTAAAACTACTCATGCTTTTTGTTGCATATTCAAAGAAATCCTGTTGGCTATTTTGAATATAATACTGATGATATGTTTAAGACTTTATAATAGTACCAAGACTAAATGGTTATTACATTTTAGGAATTATTCTAAGCACTTTATATTTGTAAGTCCTAATTCCATCTTAACATAAAACAAATAATTTTGTATCAATTCCTTTCCTCTCCAGATCGCAGAAGACATCCAATGCTGTCTATAGGATGCAGCATAAGATTGTGACCTCATTAGAATGGAGATGCTGTCCTGGATACATAGGGCCAAACTGTCAGCTCAAAGGTATATGCTCATAATAATATCATAATAAAAATTTCTGATAAATAAGTAGTTGAATGTGTAACATAAGGGCCTGATAGTTGGGGTTTCTTTCCTGCCAAGTTCCCACAGTCTTTAGTTCCCAAAGAAAATCACACAGAGGTCTCCATAAATTGTAAACTGATTGGCCCATTACCTCAGGCTTCATATTAGCTCTTATAACTTATATAGTCCATTATTCTTATCTATGTTAGCCACATGGCTCTGTACCTTTTTCAGTGGGGCAGGTCACATCTTCCTTCTTCCATGGTCTGGGCAGGACTGTGGAAAGAGCTTCCTTCTTCCCAGAATACTCCTGTTCTCCTTGCCCTGCCTCTACTTCCTGTCTGGTTCTCCCGTCTATACTTCCTGCCTAGCTACTGGCCAATCAGCGTTTATTTAAAACATAATTGACAGAATAGAGACAATTCTCCTGCATAAATGGATCAATTGTGCACCAAGGAAAATTACTAAGCAGCCAGATGTTAAATCTGCTGCTGTTTTCAAACTTCGTAAGTCACCCACAAATCTCATAACCTGCCCCATCACTGTTCCTCTCAAGCTTATGTTAGTTTTAAGAAATGAGTAAGATCTCACTGTATTGCTTATTATTAACTAAAACTACAAACACATCCTTTTTAAAATATTATTGTAAATTGTCATTTTATACTTTAAATAAAATGATTAGAAATAGCCCATATAAAATAATTATACAACACTCTGGCTTTGTTCCATTTCAACTACTTGACATAACAGGGATGTGAATGACAGTTCATGTTAGAGAATATACCATGTAACTAATGAATAATTAGGTGAGTTTTATTTCATCTTAAAGGAGTCATTTTTTTAAAGCAGAGATTATAAGGATGTCCTGGTGGAAGGCTGATCAAGCACACAGACACCTGCGGTAGCCTAACATCCGTGCACCTATTATGCTGCTTTCAGATTAAACAGCTTTTCTTTGACAAATAAGATGTGACATCTGCATTCATATTTTAAGTGGATGAATATTACAAGAAAGGCCATTAGCAGTGGTGGGGAATTCAATCAACAATGTAGGAGATTGTGATTAAAACTTAATGTAACTGTGGAGAAACCATTAGGAGTTGCATTAAGAAACAGAGAATCATATGCAAGAGCTGCAAGAGTCATGCAGTTTAGTCAGGGATATTATCCATGGCTAGCCAGCCCATGCAGTGAGGATCTCTGGACAAATCTTCCACACTGCTGTTTTCTCTGGGCCTGGTTTAAGTTACATAGATAACATGAAATCCAGCACATTTTGAAATGTATCAGTAAATTTTTACCTTGTAACCAGGTAAAATAAAACTTTTACAAAAAAAATAAATAAAACCCACACTGAAAATATTTAGAAATGAGGTAATACAAAATATTTGAAAAAGATCCAAATATATTACTGTTTTCAAAGAATTCATTTTTATAAGGTATGCAAATATAGTCACAGTGTTACAATGCATTTGTTTCTTAAACACATTGTTACGTTATT